CTCAAACACACCCGTCTTATGTTGGTACCGGTAGACCTCTTGACCTTTCAACACATAATTTACTTTTCTTTCACATTCTGGTATTCATTTCTGCTTCTGTTGTCTTGTGGTTAGGCTACCGGACTCCTAATCGTGACAGCGCGTTCCGGTGGATTGAGGCTCAGGTCGGTCCGACGTTGTGCTTGGGTAGTGTACACTTAATGTTCTCATTTTACTCGGTCCTATCGGAACTGGACATTAATGTTGGTGGTCCCGCCCAGTAAATAACGCTGCAAAGAGCTTTTTTAGGGGGCGGGGTGGGGATGCTTTAACAATGTAGTCCGCTTCACGGTCTTTATTAAAAGCAACTCAGACTTCGTGTATTTGTCTATAATGTGATGCTTCTCAGTTTATAGTTGTTCTCACTACAAACATTTTATGTGTTGCAAAGTAAAACGGCACAAAATGTGCCATACTCATAAAGTTGTACATTGCTCACGAAAAAATCTGTAAAATGTAATATGTACAGACATACTAATGAGTTTTATTGTTATGCATCTTTAGATAGTCTGGGAACCTGGTAATTTTTACCAATATCTTCTCTATTTCCTTTTTTATGACGCCTTTGTAGCCATATTTTTGCGTCTTCATCCAACAGATTCGGGCTCTTCGTTTGCTTCGATGTTCTGTTCCTTGAGCCCGCAGTTACTATGGTAACCCAGCATAACGTGACCAACATCGTCTTCCCCACGGCCTGGATGGACGCACTGCCCTTGCTGTCGGCCATTGGCTTCCACTCCTCCTTCGCCCGCGGTCTGGGCGTGAACTTTCTGTCCTCCAATCTCCACCTCCCAGACCGACGCTTTCACGGCAGCGGCATCTACTCCCCCGAGGGCGTGAAGGAATTTTACTACAACAGCTCCCACACGTCTCCGGGGAAACTTCTCGTGGCAGAACTCAACGTTCTTCTCACGCGCAACCCTCAGGGTGGGGTGGACGTTTCAGAATTAAGTTCGGCAGCGAGTCTGGACTCTCAGAAAACTGGCGGAGAGACGGCAAATGGGAGCAATGCTGTTGTAGAAGATTCGGGAAGCTCCAACTCAGAGGAGTTTCAGTCCCTGCTCTTTGATGATTCGTTCACGTTCAAAGCTCTGGAAGAAGACTCGGCTAACGTGTCTGTGTGTCAGAACAAGGTCTGTTGTCATCTCAGCTACTCTAAAGAGAATCTCGGAGGAGCGTCACCAGACGATCTCTTTGCGCTCGGCGCTTTCGACGGGCTGCATACTAAAGAAGGTCAGTACTACCTGCAGATCTGTGCCCTGGTCAAGTGTTCTGACGCCGGGGATCGCAAGTCGTGCGGGAACGTCACCTCAGTGTCGGACACAATCTTCCACCAGCTGGACCTCCATGGGGACTTCCAGACTCCGTTTGTCTACCCTCAGCTGATTCTGAACTCGGCCTCATCACGTGACAACCTGGCACTGGCCCCTCAAGACTCCTGGAGCTCCCAGCATGGCGCAATGTTCCTCAGACCTGGTCTCAGGGATCCTGTACTTTCGGCTGCTCTGTTCGGGAGGGCGTATGACAGAGATGACGGTCAGGCGAAGTGCGCAGGCGCGAAATGCGGTGGTGTCAAAGGCCCCGGAGATAGTGCCAACCCAAATGTTAAGGGAGGGTATTTGACAACGTTCTTGACTTTGACAGTCCTCTTGTTTACTTTGTTCTAGCTTTTCGTGTGTGTACTACTAGCAAAGCATGATGCAATCGGGTTTTTCCTTTTTTCATGTAATCTATACATATTATATTTGTGAAAGTTCGTCACTTTCGCAGCCTAAAACTTCCGAACCATTTAACTTTTAAATCTGACAAAAATTAATGGTGGTTCAGAATCATTTAGAGGGTGCACAGATTTATTGAGAAGCCTGAAGTCACTGTAGTTTAATTTTCAGCGTTTCATTAGTTTCGTTTAGATCTAATCTTGGGAAAGTCCATCTTCTAAGACGCCATTGTAAACAAGTGAGGTTTCTGTTCACTAACCGTGCGCACTGTTTTGAGAGTATAGATCTGAACCTTCTAATTTTTTGCATCTCTCAAGATTTATTGCTCCATTCCAGTAGAGTGTAAATATCGTAGGCCAATGACTTTCGGCTCATGTTAATGCACCGATCATTCTTTTCATTCGAAAGGGGGCCCAGCTAGTCATTACATGTAATATGGTCTGATGAAATAACCCAAATGAATCCCCTGAACTATTAATTTTTATGTGTATCGCTGTTGGGTTTCAATATTTTGATCAAACGTAACTGACTCTCAGCTCACATGAGAGTGGGCTAATGATGGATGGTTCCAGCTTCTCTCTTTAATTCATACAAGATTTATTTTGTTTTTAGTATAGAAGATGCCTCCATTTTCTGCCTTTTTGTGTTTTTATTTTGCTTGGAAAATCAAACCATTCAAGTTTTCATAAAAAAGACTAATTGTTCGTTTTCCTTAACTTAAGTAAAACATAATAACTCGTTTGCTGCAGCTTTTGATATGGATTTAAGAACACGCAGACTCATGGGGCGTTAGATAGGTTGGCTCAAGTTTTGAATCCAAGATTGAAAAAAAAAATAATTCAAGCAAACTTTGGGGAGGGATGGTGTGGTATAGTATTGTAAGGGATGGTATAATAGATCGACAGATAGGTGTGGCATCGGGTGCCATGTTGCGGTGTTATACAGTATAGTACACGTACAAGATGCATTTTGTGGTATTGAGAGGCATGGTAAGAAGTGGTATTGGAAAGTGTTTTAGTTTTAGTAAGAGTTTTACCACACATGCAACTCAATAAGTGCATATTAGTGCCGAAGATTAGAGGCATAAGAGAGGAACAAACATATAAAAGGAGGAGGAGAGATAAGGTTGATAGATTTTTAAGTTTAATAGGAAAGAAGGAGAAAACTACACCAGGGCACTAGCCTACCACCCACATGGGAAATTGTGGTATGGGGTGGAAAAGCGCAAAAGAAAATAGTGTATGAAGATTACTCAATTGAGCACATTTTTAACACTCACAGTCACACACACACACACACACACACACACACACACACACACACACACACACACGTGGCGTCAAAGGCCCGGAGATAGTGCCA